TGGAAGTTCCTTTGCTTTTCTAACGAATTCTTTCACCCCTTCAATGAATTCAGTTTTCAACCCTTTTCTCCCTGGATAAAGTCTTTCATACATCCAAGTACGATCCATATTCTGCATCTTAATACCAATTTATTTGGGCAAGGGAGTATAAAAATAAAATATAATGGTAATAAATACAGTACGATATGTGACAAGTAGATATCCAAATACCAACAAATAAACCTAAGCATGACAATATTTTGTTGTTTCAAAACTACAACTTTAAAAAAACTCTCCGGATTTGTACAATCAAACCTACTTTAAAACTGGTAGGTGGGAACAAAAACCAAGACACAATAAAATTTAATTCTTTCATTTTTTTAGTTTAAAAAAATCATCATTAAAACTGATTTACAAAAAAAATTCCACATAATTGAACAATTAGAATAAAAATATACCAACAAATATAAAATCAAAAATCAAATTTGGGTAACAAAAGTAAAACATAAAATTCCATACAATTGGACAATTAGAATATTTTCATTCACATAATTGAAGAATTTAGAGAATTTTCAAGAGACAAGAAAAGAAATTCACACAATTGAACAATTAGAGTAATTTCAAGATGAGTTAAAACCTAGAAATTGGAGGGGAGGCTGAGCGTCGGCTTGCTAGACGGCGGAGAAGAGAGCGGGTGACGGCGGTCGGCGACGCGGGGGTGACGAAACTAGAGGCGGAAATGTTACCCACTAATAAAAATTTAAAACAGAGGGTGAATATTCCGCCTCTGCTCTGCAGCTAATTAGAGGCGGAAATATCCCCTCTATTTTTTTGCAGCTTTTACGCGAGATTCTTGTAGTGGAATGAATTAAAATTAATTTTCGACTTATAATTAAATAAAATTTATATGGTATATTAATTAGATAAAATTATATTTTGAGAATATTATACATGATGAATATAATAAAATTATTTTTGTATTAATATTTAATATCAATTTTATTTAATTTATGAATAAAATTTACTAATTTTAACTACAAAAAGTCAAAACTGAAGAAACACTCCGAGACGGAGACAGTATATAAAATACATGAAAAAGGGTGGAGCTCTCACCCCGAGAGTCCCCACACCCCTATACCTGGTGTTGGTAGAAGAGGTAAATCTCGAGATGTGCCTTGCTTGGTTGGAGGGAAGGAGAGGGGAGGGGAGCGAATCAGAATCCCTCCCCTTATTTGGTTTAAAAACATGGAAGGAAGAGGACCCAAAATTTTAGCTTCAACTCCCTCCCGTTACGGCCTGCCCCGAAAAATGAAAAAATAAAATTGGCCTAATCCAAAATTTACATTTTTGGCCATATTTTATTTTTTTGAAATACTTATACCCTAAAATTACTCCCGAATTTAAGTATCTGGGGCCCTAAAATTTTATTAGGAATATCAACACAACAATCCAACTCGTAAACAATATCAATAATATGAATATTATGTTCTCGTTACTCTAGTCTCTAACTGACTTAGCCCACAACCTATTGTAGGTTTAAGCTTATACTGTTTCTGACTTTGATATTGGAGTCATAATAACCTTCCCCTTCGGAAAGAAAATCAAGCTCAACCAACTCGGGAGTTCCTCGTTGGGTGGGGGAGATCCCTGTCCCCTTCGGAATGAAACTTCATGGATTCTCGTGCGCAGTTTGTACTTGAATAGCCTTTGGACCCAGTAGGTTCCACATGGCTTTAACCTTTCAATCATTATGGTATATCTTGCACACAAGTTTATCAGGAATATCAACACAACAATCTAACTCGTAAACAATATCAACAATATGAGTATTATGCGCTCGTTACTCTAGTCTCTAACTTACTTAGACCACAACCTATTGTAGGTTTAAGCTTATACTGTTTCTGACTTAAATATTGGAGTCATGACCTTCCCCTTCAGAACGAAGATCAAGCTCAACCAACTCGAGAGTTCTTCGGTGGGTGGGTGAGATCCCTGTCCCCTTCGAAATGAAAATTCATGGATCCCCGTGCACAGTTTGTATCCGAATAGCCATTGGACCCAGTAGGTGCTACATGGCTCTAACCTTTCAATCCTTATGGCATAACTTACCTCTATTCCTTCCAGGTCAAATCCTAGAGTTCCTATAGGTTCATATGTTGCTTTAATTTCATATTACATTCACAAGTACATATCACAGAGACAAACATAATCATATCCAACATAACCAAACATTATCGAACATCAGCCTAGCGCTGGGTGTGAACATTCATGTTTATTATCATGCAACACACAAGGTCTCAGAATAAGTCCTCGACATGAAAACAAACTTACGAGCAAATTCTGGGTTCTAGACAGTATGCGCAGATACCCTAATTGACCTAATGGGCTCGGGCCCATACTAAAACCCTAAACAATCAATATGAATAAATAATAATAAATAACTACTAAATAATAAGATAACTAATTAAAATACTTTAATTAACTATTCGTATCACATTACCTAGTTCGCTACTAAGGTACCGGCACGGTACCTCGATGCTGTCCAAAGCAATACCTGGTACCGGCAGGGACAGAGTCCGCCAACACCAGATAGCCTGTGACGGTAGTCAGCCACCGTTCCTGGCGGTAAGGCCTATCGTCCATCTAGTACCTTGGTACCAGACGGGTGCAAGTACTGGCAGAGCGAAAAGGCCTCACGCGGTATCAAAGTCCTGATCGTTGGTACCTAGGTAACCTAGGTACCGTCTGACGTGAACCTACATGTTAATACACCAGCTCAATTTCTAGCACCATCAATCATCCAATTCTGAAAGTTTTAACACAAGTACATTCATAAACAAATTTCTAACTATATCCAACCTTAACATACCCAATTATAACTCATTCGTACACACAATCACACATTCCAACAAAACTGATACGAATATTGTATCGGATAAGAAAGAACTTCGAGCGTCTTCAGGCTCCAAGAAAGGGGAGGCAAAGAGAGAAGGAAAACTTTGAGCATTTTCGAGCTTCAAGAAAAGAGAAACGAGAGATTAATAGAATCATGATTATTGAATGATTGAATAATAACGAAGGGTTACAATATATAAAGAACGCAGATACCCTAATTGACCCAATGAGCTCGGGCCCATACTAAAACCCTAAACTATCAATATGAATAAATAATACTCCTTCCGTCCGGGAATGATGCCACTTTGACTTTTCCTCATTTTTAAGAAGCATTGACTAAGGGAGTGAATAGACTAAAATACCCTTACACATTTTCACCCATCCCTAGCCACCAAACAGCACCCACTACCGGCCCAAATCTCCACCGCCGCCAATCTCACCCCACCGCTGCCCCCACCAGTCCTGTCGGCGTCGTTATCTCCGCCAGCCCAAACGATGACCATCACCTCAGCCGCCGTCACCACCAGTCCGACCATCACCCATAGCTTCCACCAAGACCATATATGGGAGAAAGAGAAAAGAGAGAAAGAAGGGGAAGAAAGATGACAAGGAGGAGAAGAAGAAAAAGACACAGATCTACTACAGATCTAATCGACCACCATCGCCGCCGCAGCCCCGTCACTGTCGGGATATACCATCGGCGCGCAGCCCCACCTTCGGCGCAATTGTGGTATAGATCTAAAAGAAAAAATAAGGAGAAAGAAAAGAAGAAAGAGAGGAAGCAGTGCAGACTCGCCATCGCCATCGCCGGACGCCACCATCGCTGCCGCCACAACTGCCCCATGCGTATGCATAGATCTAGAAGAAAGATGGATGAGAAAAAAGAAGGGGAAGATAAAGAAGAAAGATGGAGTAGAAAGAAAGACTATAGAGAGGATTAGAGGAAGAAGAAGAAGAAGATTAAAGAGAGGATCTGCAGAGATGGAGGAGAAAAAGGAGAGAAGAAAAAGAAAAAAATTGAAGAGATAAGGAAAGGAGTGACGTAGAAAAAAAGAAGGAAAGAGAAAAGAAAAAAAAGAAAGAAAGAAAAGGAAGAAAAGAATTGGAAGAAAGGGTAATTTAGGGAGATTAGAGATGAAATAGTAGAATGGGAACATCATTTCCGGACGAAAAAAAATGTACAATGGGAACATCATTCCCGGACGAAGGGAGTAATAAATAACTACTAAATAATAAGATAACTAATTAAAATACTTTAATTAACTATACGTTTCATTCCCACCCCTTTAAAAATCACGTTGTGCTAAAGGTGGAGGCTCCCACTCGTGCTTCTGAACTGGAGAGATAATGCTAAACCAAAAGAGCGGTCCATTCCTTGAATCTTCAACCATATTGGAACTTGGAGTAAACTGAGGGGCCTGTGAGATAGAGCCAATACTACATGTAGGTTTGCTCAGTGAAACTAGGTGCTGCATCTTGACCACATCGGCAATGGCACACAACTTAATGATGTCAAATGAAATGTGGTTGTCCACTTGCTTATTATCTGTATCTACCACATTGTCAATAATATTGAGAACATTAAACTTTGCAATGACCACACTCACTGAGACATTTATTGGCACAAAAAATTCACTTGATGTGGGATTAAGTGTGTAGACATTAACAACATCTGCAACAGTAGCACTATCATCTTTTTCCATGACTTTAGACTCCTTGTCATCTTTCTTAATAGCTTCGAGTGCACTGTCCTCATCATCTCCTACCTGTGAATCTATGCTTGAGTCCACCTTGGAATCTTGATCAAGAGATTCAACATTTTTCTCAATTATTGTAGAGACCAAATTTGGTGGGGAAGGGGGAGTGTCGATGAGTATTTTCATAACGCCCAACATGTTTGTTTTAAAGTTCTGTAACTCCTAAGGAATCAAACTCGACAAAATTGGAGGACTCGAACCAAATCTTGTATCGCGCAAGAAATTTCAATGTCAAATGTATGTAAGTTAGAATCATAATTTGACTGACCTTCAATAGGACGAAATGGCTAAAGATTCATGATAATTTCATCAATGTGATCGTAACGTGTGCACACTCCTTCATCGTGCTCAATTGGGCCATAAAGAACATTCTCCAACAAATCAATAAGTTTGTCCAATGCACCGGTACTAGGGATGCATACAAATCAAATAAAATGTATTCGATTCGTGATTCGTATTCGCTATATTCGAATTCGAATCCGAATACAAATCGTATTTTAGATTCGATTTATTTTCGAATCCGAATACAAATATTATTAGATTCGATTCGTTTATTATTCAAATTATTCGAATATTATAATTTATAAATAAATTTATATATATTCTAATATATTAAATATTTATGTACATATTTTAACATATTAAATTTTTCTGTACATATAAATTTATATATATTCGAATATTATAATTTATAAATAAATTTATATATATTCTAACATATTTTTACTACTTTTTTACGACATTTTACATTATTATAAAATAATAATTTAGTGTCTTTAAGAAATCTGTTTTAAGAAAAAAATTCTAATATTTTCGAATTCGAATATTCGAATACGAATTCAAATACGTCAAATATCTATCGAATCGAATACGAATGTTTTTTAAAATTTGAATTATATACGAATCCGAATTCGAATACTTATCACTTTAATCGAATACGAATCGAATAGTGATATATTTGATTCAATTCGTATACACCCCTAACCGGTACAAATAATCAAAGCCTCTAACAGCTTGGATCGTGCCTCGATTCGGAAGGAAAAGCCCTGCTCCATTTGACAAAATATGAATCTGGTCGGGGTCAAAAGCAATTTTGCAGCCGCGGCATAAACCTTTCAATTTTTTTGTTGTTGAATTGGTAGCAGCGATCCACTATTTTGTCCCTGATGAAGTGTTGATTTGCAATTTGCTTCAACCTATCTCTTTTTTTTGGCGGCTGTGCACAATTGAGTGATCTTGAAAGGAGCAAACCAATTCACTATAGTTTTCTTTCCAAAGCTTCAGCAATAGATTGAACTAGTAAAAACAAAACTGCTGATCGGCACTTCAACTATTTTTTTTGTTTGGTGTTCCAGGTACGATGGCGGACAATTTCAGGAATATGCGGCGGCAAACAAGTGGATTTGCGGCTGATTGTGTTCGGCGGCAGAGGTAAAGCTCAGGCGTTGCGATCCTGGTTCTCTCGTAGGCGTGAAAATTTGCACAAACAGATCTGGAACGGTTGGCTCTCAATATTCAATCACAGCCTGGTTGGTTGCTCAATATTCAACCACTGGATACCAAGGCTTTGCAACTCCTTTTTGTTTATAATCACCAGCCTCAAGAGATTTCTTCCTTGGATGTTCACGACAATATTGAAGAATTGATGACAGGGCTAATATGATCGGCCTCAACAACTTTCGGATTTGATTGGACTTTTCTTGCTTCTTTTTTTTGGTTTGTTTGTGTGGTGTTCAAATGAATGAAAGCACTAATTGATACAAATATCGTATCAGATAAGGAAGAACTTCGAGCAGAAAGGGGAGGCAAAGAGAGAAGGAAAACTTAGAGCGTTTCCGAGCTCCAAGAAAAGAGAAACGAGAGATTAATAGAATTCTTGATTATTGATTGATTTAATAATAACGAAAAGTTACAATATATAAAAAGCGCAAATACCCTAATTGACCTAATGGGCTCAGGCTCATACTAAAATCCTAAACTATCAATATGAATAAATAATACTCCCTGCGTCCCAAAAAGATTTACACGTTTCAAAAAAAATGCGTCCCACAATCTCTTACCCATTTCCATTAAAAAACCATTTTTACCCCTTACTTTTTCAAACCCTACCTATCACATCATACATTTTTCCTAATAATCTATACATCACATCCTACTTTTACCCATCACATCAAGGATATTTTTGGAAAGTCAACACAAATTATCACTCCCTTAATTTCAACTTTAGTCAAAATGGGTAACACTTTATGGGACGGATGAAGTAATAAAGAACTAGTAATAAATAATAAGAGAACTAATTAAAATACTTTAATTAACTCTTCGTATCAAAAAACATCCTAAAACAGGTTTTCTCGTAAATGAACCGTAATGATCCTACAATCGTAAGATTCAAACCTATAGGCATAACCTAGTGTTACATGTCCACGTACTCACCTTGAATTTGACGAATGAAAGCTACGAAGAATGGAACTTAACAGCTTCTCTTTAAAAAATATTTCATAAAATAAATCTAATAAAATTATTTTTGTATGAATATCTAATACTCCCTCCGTTCTCAAACACACTTCCTCTTTCATTTTTTCCACTTCCAACAAAACACTTCCTTTTCCTACGTAGTATTAAAAACCACTTTTACCCTTACTTTTTCATACCCTACCTATCACATCATACTTTTTCTCTAATAATCTATCCATCACATCTTACTTTTACCCATCACATCAGGGGCAAAATTGGAAATCAACTATAATTTAACACTTCCTTATTTTTGCCCCAAATCAAAATGGGAAGGGTTTTTCCAAACAGAGGGAGTATCACTTTTAATTAATTTATGGCCAAATTTTGTTAATTTTGACTAAAAAAATTAAATACTGACATATACTCTGAGACGGAAAGAGTATTATTTATATTACAAGAATTGATGGAAGATCTATCCACCTTAGATACATATAAACGGACGCCATAAGCGGAGTATATTTCATCCGTGCTTAGATAATTTTGCACTATTTTTTTCCTTTCACGTTTTGAAAAAAAAAGTTTGAAATATGACCCTATCTTCTATACAGATAGGAACAAACTAGTTTTTAAAAATTAATTTTAACATCTTTTTAATTTGTTTGAAGAACTCACTGAGCTCTCTTAAGTGAATTATTCAAAACAATAGAATAAACCTAACTTAATGGGAAGTATCATGCTGTATTCGGTGGGTTTAATTAGTTTGCTCCAACACACCAAGTGCCTTCTTTAATTGCACTATATACAGTTAGTCAACTTTCGTTAGATGGGGGCTAAGTGGCTAGCTTCAATTCGTGGGACTAAAGGAGCGAGTTCCTTTCCTTTATCACGCCCCAACGGTTTACATGTTTTAATTACTCTCTCCCCTTAGACTCTTATTTATAGGTCAAATAAATTTTATTTCTTTATAAATTTTTATCGATCATTTAATACAACAAAATAATTTGTAATCAGTTGTTATGTAGATTTTTTGATATAGTACTTTCATATACGGAGTATTATTTTTATTTTTTATTTATACTAATTTTTACTTATATTGATTTGAAAATAGTTTCAGTCAAACATCGTAAACCTAACGAGAGCCTTATTTTAGGACGGAGGAAGTATTATACCTTCATCATATGCGTATTTAAATTACATACTCGGTAATATTCATTTTGCATATTAATCTTTTATATACATAGAGCATTAGTATTATGAAATTAATGCTTCATTTGTTTTTAAACACAGTTTCACCTTTATTCTTAGCGTATCTCATTAATCACTTCTGTCCCCATCTAAAATGTCTAAAAACACACCAAATTTTGTTTTATTGCGGGCGAGAGTTGTTTTGAGGGGTATTTTAGACAATTTAGGTGAGGTATAAGTAATTTGTGAGATACACAAAAAATGAAGGTGAAACTAATTTTAAAAAATAGAGGGAATATATGCATATTTAATAATTGCACAATGTACATTTAATTGTTGAAAGATTTTTTTGTTTTGTTACCAATAACACTCATATCTAATCCAAGAAAGAATAAAAATCAAATTGTAGAAAAACACACATTTATTTCTTGTGTACATACTCAGGGTATACACATTATAAAATTGGTGTATACATACTTTACGAATTATATAATGTCATTATATTGTTGGTGATTAGTATCTTCGGATCATCGCTATTTTATATATGTAACTGAATTTACTTAGATCGACGAACAATAATTTTAATATACGTTTTAAATGTGTTCGAAGGTATGGAGTACTTTGCTCATTCAATAATAATACAAATTCCTTAGTAAGGGTCGGGCGGCAGCCTCAGGTAGTGGGGTCCAAGAAGCAGAGCATGTGGCTAGGATCGAGTTGGACATTTTTGTATTCTCTTATACATAAATGAGTATTCGTTGGATGTACGAGAAACACGGTAGATACAGTTGTCGTGTGGTACGACATACCTTGTGATAATTGCCTATTGACTTTCAAGACTCTATGATTTGGCATGTGGATCTATTTCCACATTATGGACAAAACTCTCCCCCACATCCCCTTGGTTAAAAATCTTAAAATCTTATATATGCACTTACCATATCTATCTTTGAAGAAGAAAACTATCAAAAGTCATTTCATTGTCTCCTTGTATATCGTGCTCTTAGCCACCGCGCACATGATGGCGCAGAAGGATCTGCAAAAAGCTTTTGATCCCATATTAAGGAACTTTTCAGGTTTAATTTCAATGGGCCAACCTTGCAATAACATTCTTTAGTTTTTACAATTAGATTAAGAGTTTCTTTTTTTTTCATGCAGGTAACCATCCCATTGCCATAACAATTCCACTTTTTGGAGGTACTGCCATCATTATTGTCATAGCAGTGGTGCTCTTCAAAAGACGAATGATCGATAGCCACAGCTTAATTCTTGGCTTTTGGATGTTGATGTGGTTCGGTAGCGTGATTCTTAACACTTGGGATTTCCCTAAACTCTCTGTTCTGCTGATCTACTTCCACATCGTGAGTAGTATATTCGGACTGGCGTATTGGATACGTTTGGGTGTTACCGACTACCGGATCACAAACGAGTTGCCACCAATGAGCCTGTTGTTCGAAATCGTGGCGTGGGTTTTCATGTTTGTTTTGAGCTGTATCGAGGTTCTTTTGTGGGCTTTGCGCGGGGACAAACAGTATCGTCAAGTGTCTCATTGGTACCCAGTGGCATTTGCTTTTATTTCCATGGTGGAGAACTATTGGAATAAGGGTAAGGAAATTAGAGCAAAACGGTTCAGGTCACAACTTGTTAGACTTGTGGAGAGTGGCTTTAGGGATTTCATATGGACTTACAAGGAAGATCTTCAAAAATGCGATGTAAACGAGTTCAACAGGAAGTTCTATGAGTTCACGACAGTTTTCGATGTTTTAGTGGCTCAGAAGCGGGAGGCTATAAGAAGGGCTCAGTATATTAATGATTCAACAAAGGGAGAACTAGCTTTGAAGCCGCAGGGTAACGCCAAACGTCGTAGCTCAGTATGTTAAATGTTAATGCCGCCTTCATATAGCTAGTTGGCCTTGAATGGTCCCTTTTATCTGTCTTTAATTTTTTTTCCTAGAGGCCACGTTTTCCATTAATCTATTAAAATTGAAAAATGAAGTGTATCATCACTATAGTCATCAACCATGCAAGCAATTCCATTATCAAAATAAAAAAAGCAAAATGAGGGCTCGTTTGATGAGTTTTAGAGATATGATAAGATATGAGTTTTGAAATGTGGATGCAAATATAAAAGTTTTGAAACCTAAAACAAAAGTGTTTGAGTAAAACTGTTATACGGATTTCAAGAATAACAATATGAACACGAAAAACACGACATCAAATTTACGTGGTTCACCAATAAATTGGCTATGTCCACGGGGAAAAAGGGGAACAGTTTTATTATACAGAGGCAAGAACATGATACAACTTAGGGTTTGTGATAACACCTATTTATATATAGCGTTAGGCTACACCCTAACAAGCTTGAGCCCAGAATACAGAATTGACAAATAATTAATAGCCCAATACATCAACATTGTATACCGTCGGGGCAGGGGCGCGTCGCCCCTTGGACCCCCCCGACTCGCTAACCGGACAGCGAGACCCCAGCTCTTTCTGCTGTAACGGGTCAGATTCAAGGCATTACAACAAATCTCCACATTGACTTAAATTCTCCAAACAGATTCTTCAGACGCAGTACGATAGTGCCAGGCCTCCCCCTTTTCCTCAGAATTGCCCCGCAGGGCAATTAACAGCTTTTGATGTTGAACAAGTCCAAACAGTGTTGAAACTTGTTTTGTGGAGCTGGCTTTGTGAACATATCAGCAGTTCCTACTTTCTTCACCTTGATTCTCTTCTTACTTCTCAGAAAATGATACCTCACGTCAATATGTTTGGTTCTCTCATGATGAACTTGATCCTTAGCTAGACAAATCGCGCTCAAACTATCACAATACACTGTAGCCTTATTATGATGCAGACCAAGATCATTAACAAGCCCTTTCAACCATATTACCTCCTTTGTAGCTTCTGTCAAAGCCATGTACGCTGCTTCCGTAGTTACCTCCTTTGTAGCTTCTGTCAAAGCCATGTAGGTTGCAAAGTTGCCATCCAGGTAACAACAGAACCTCCAAGAGTAAACACATAGCCAGTCATCGATCTTCTCGTGTCAACATCTCCAACATAGTCAGAATCGGAAAATCCTGTAACCAAGCACTGAGTATCACCTCCATAAATGAGACCAATGTCAGATGTACCCCTAAGGTACCGAAAAATCCTCTTCACGGCCTGCTAATGTTCTCTCCCTGGTTGTCCCATGAATCTGCTAACTACACTAACTGCATGTGCAAAATCTAGCCTTGTACAGACCATAACATACATCAAACTTCCTACAGCACTGGCATAATTAAGGGACTCGTGACATATACTCCTTCTCTTCTACTGACTGTGGAGAGAACATGGCAGTGAGATGGATATTGGCAGCACTAGGGGTATCAATAGGCTTAGATGAAGACATGCCAAACCTCGTCAAGACCTTCTGAATGTAAACTCCCTGTGACAAGAAAAGTTTCCATTTCTCCCTGTCTCTAGTGATCTCCATCCCTAAAATATTTTGAGCGGCTCCCAGATCCTTCATCTCAAACTCGGCACTAAGTAAACCCTCCAACTTTTGAATGTCATACTACTTCTTTGCAGCTATCAGCATATAATCTACATAAAGAACCACATAGATGAATGAATCATCTTTGAGGCTATTGTAGTAGACACAACAATCATATGAGCTTCGAGTATATCCCAACTTCACCATATAACTCTCAAACCTTTTGTACCACTGCCTTGGAGACTGCTTAAGTCCATATAAGGACTTCTTCAACTTGCAAACGTCATTTTCCTTCCCTGGAACTTGGAAACCAACTCGCTGAGTCATGGAATAAAACTTACCAGAAAGAATTAGAAAAAACTGGAAGAAAATGAAAGACATTAGAAAAATTACAAAAAATGGAAGTTAGGAGTTTAAGATTTAAAGAATAGACTTTAAGAGAGACCCACCATAATATGTTTCCTACTACAATTAGGAATCATATTGTGGCTCCATTTACATGTTTCTTAGAGCTTGAAATATTAATTTTTAGTTTCTTCTAGTTTTTTATTGTCCTTCTAGTTTTTTCAGTTTCTTTTTCTTACTTTCAGTTTTTCTAGTTACCTTCAGTTTCTTTCAATTCTTTTTTGTTTCTTCTTTTTTTTCAACTATTTCCATTTTCTTCAATATTTTTTTACTCCCAAAAAGTGACTCTCAGAATAATATTTTTTTCATGTACTATTATTATTATTATAACTATAGTTTATAAATTATTTCCATATTTATTTTTATTTTTTCATGTCAATATTTTGTTATCCACTCTCATTATTACTTTTTTTCTTCCATTTTTAATATAATAAATATGGAACATAATTTTTTTAGAAAAACTGTTTTTATTTTCAATTTACATGACACTATACTATGTTCTAAAAGTTATGGCTAATTTATTATTCTAAAATGAATTGGGAAAAATATCAATATTTTAAATTAAAAAAAAAGAATTATATTATACTACTCTCTCTATCCGTGAACAATACGAACCAATAATAATAGTAATAGTAATAATAATAATAATAATAATAATAATAACGGAAACAACAACAATTATAATAAGAATTCTATGTAAAGTATACTTAAATACAGAGTAAATTTTCAAAGTTTTTCCATTTTTTCCCAGTTTTTTCTAGTTCTAGGTTTTTCCAGCTTTTCAATTTTTTTTAGTTTCTTTACGTTACTTCCCATTTTTTTTTAGTTTTTCTAGTTTTTTCCAATTTTTTTCATTATCCAACTTTTTTTTCAGCCTTAAAAAATAAGCTCTTAGTCTCACTTACATTGACTTCCTAATTCAAGTCATCACATTGACTAACAAGTTCCCCAATTTTATTTTTATTCTTTTTCTTTTTCTATTTTTTCTTTCTATGTTTTTTCTTCATTTTCTACTATTTCAAATAAAAAAATCATGTTTTTTCATTTTCTCTTCATTTTCTCTTATCTTTATTTTCTCTTTTTCAAAGGGTAAACCATAATTTTGAAGTTAGTGGGACACGAAAGAGGATGGATGTGTGCCCATATGCAATTATGCATGCACGGGAGAAGAACTCTAGGCCTCTAGTTATAACTCACATTCAGTTCTACACCACACACCCCATGTGGTTTTGTTAATTTTTAGCACACTACGTCTAAATAATGAATGCTACATCATTACCATGGCAATTTATCTTGTGCTTGCAACTAGGGGCGGGCACGAAAACCGTTTCCGTTAACCCGTTCCGAAACGTGACGGAACCGATTTGAAATTGTACCCTTTTTTTTATTCAATTTTTTTGGTTCCGAACCCGTTCTGTCCCGATTTTAAGTGGGACGCCATTACCGGGATAACATACAAGTGTACCGTTCCATCCCGTTTTATATACTCTTCTAAAAACATTATATATATATATATATATATATATATATATATATATATATATATATATATATATATATATATATATAAACACATATATTACTCCGTACGTATCTCGTGAAACATTTTGAATACTTAACAATTAATACTTGTTGACATTGTTGTAGCATTTATTTTCAATCTTTTTGTTTTCAATTTTTATTATTGTCCTAAAATTAGGAAAACGTAGGACAATCCGAATCCATTCCGTTTTGTCCCGGTCCCGAAAATTATGGAATAAAGTGGGATAGGCTTGTGGTTCGAACCGTTCCGAACTGTTTGAATATAACGGGACAGGACACGGGATTGTAAGAAACCCAAACCGTCCCGACCCGTGCTCACCTCTACTTGCAACAGAGAAGCTATTCAACCTAATTGTGTAGACTGGACTACTGGAGTGTGCTGTGTGCATAATACGGAGTAATAAGTGGGCGGTTTCTTATCCCGACCTAATGTGTGAATAGAAGTGACACCTACTCCCTATATTCAAAAAGTTTTGCTATTAGAGTCTTTCTTTAACTTTTACTCGGGTATTTGTTTATATGTTTAATTGATCATTTTATAAAATAAAATATATCTTATTTTATAGAATTTTTTATATACGGAGTAATTTTTAAACTTTATTTTTTTGTTTCTATATCAATTTGTAAATAATATCCTTTTATGAATTATGAGATTTTGTACATCATTCGAATGAGGATTATCACTTTGGGAAGACAGGAGTATTTTTTAAGCCATGCCATTTTTTTCAATTTTATTTAGAGAACTAAAAATGGTCACGAATCCCCGGATTTCAAACTAGGGCTTCAAACTTTCTATCTCTTTCACATCAGCTTTAAGTCCTTTAACTTACATCATAGTTTCACTGGAAATGCATTTGCAGCCCGGGGCTTCGAACTAGGGCTTCGGTTTTTTTTTAAATTTTTTTTCTTAAAACACATTTTGTAAAATTAAATTAATAAAATTTGATTTGTTAATCAAATTTCAATGAAAATAGTTCATTAAATAAAAAAGTTACATTCAATAAAAAAAGAACATTAAATTTAAAAAAGCTACGTTAATAAAAAACTAAAGCAAATTATATGTAGTCTTGATCTCGTTTTGTCTTCAATCGTAATACATACGGAGTATGTTTTAATCCTGTTAACGTATCAAAAAATGTCGGATTATCCCCATATATTTGGTAAAGCCACATTGCGTACTCGTTTGGCTCAAAACCGGATGGAGCAATAGAGGAACCGAAGGGATTCATGATAAAAATTAAAAATAATAGAGGAAGATAAGAATTTTGAGAAAGAATGGAGAATTGTATGGAAAATGTGTTATGTGTGTTTATTTTTAAAATATGAGAGGACATTTATAGTTGAAGTTGAAAATTTTTAATAACTGATTACTTTTATTAAAAAAACTAAGTTCTAGCAAGCAAGGGGTTTCGGACCCCAAACCTTTCTTCAAAGTTCAAAGTATAAGTTCCACCCACCTAAGCCACTTATATGTTTTCTTTGCAATAAGCATGCACTATGTAGGGGTGGACACGGTACCGGTACGGTACCGTGACCGGAAATGGTACCGCCGGTTCCGGTACCGTTACCGTCGGCCGGGACGGTCCACCGGTTATGGGAACCGGTACCGGTACCGCCCACTCCGGTACTGGTTCCGGTGCCCATTTTTCGGCACCGGCACCGGCGGTACCGGTTCCGGTACCGTAATTAATTTTTTTTTATTTTTATTTTTATTTTTATTTTTTTATTTCATTCTTTCCTCTATCAATTTCATTTTTAGAGTTTTTTATTTCATCCTTTCTTTTAACAATTACACATTTACAATTTTACACTTTAAAAATTTAATAAAAAAACAAAAAAAAGAAATTATGGGTGGCCGAAACGGTACTGGAACCGGAACCGGAACCGGTACCGGCCGATCCGGTACCGGTACCAAGGGGTGGCGGTACCGGAACCGGCGATTCCGGAACCGGAACCGTCCCGGAACCGTACCGTGTCCACCCCTAGAAGTATGATATACATGGTTGCATAAACTTAAAAATTCTTCCAATTATTTGGAAAAGATAACTATGTTTGTGTAAAAGTATTTATTTTATGAACTTTTAAAATAAATCAAAGTAAAAAATATTATTTATTTTATATATATATATATATATATATATATATATATATATATATATATATATATATATATATATATATATATATATATAATTTATACCTAATAAATTCTTGTTATCTTTAAAAATCAAGTGATTTTAACTAAGTACGATGTTAAAATGTGATTGTATATAAGAACACATTATCTAAAATTTACTTTTTAAAAATTTGAGTATTACTTTATTATTTCAATATTTGTTAGACAATCACTATAAATGTTTAATGATAATAAAAATAATAAAATAAAAGATAGAAAATGTAAAATATTTGATGCACATTGATTTTAAAAACTAGGCGGAGATGTAATAAAACATAAATTAAAATATGCATATTTACTAAAAATGTCTAATTATAAAATATAAAATATTATTATTTTCATTATAGTTGACCGGGTCGTTGAACCCCGGGTTGACCAGTTAGACATTGACCCACTCCCTTGTCTGGGTTGACGCCTAGTTCAGTTTTCAAAACATTGGGGTTTAATGCAAGAAGAAATGCCCATTAGGGGTGTTCATCGGTCTAAAACCGGACCGGACCGAAAACTGAACTATGCTAAAACCTAAACCGAAGACCGGACCTAAATGTAGTCGGTTTTGGACCGGACCGACCCGAAATCGTATGGACCGAACCGGTCCAGACCGAAAAGACCGAATCTAGGTGTGGCCGGAATTGAAACTTTCCCCACCGGCAAAACCCTAGTTGTGGAAATTGGGGGTTTTGCAATCCCGAACCAAATGCTGCAATTGAGGAGTCGGGGTCGTAAAGATGTCAGGAAGATGCCTGGGTGGGTGCGCGACGTCGAATTTTCCGGAGGTTGCCGGAATCTGCAAATACCCCCGGAAACCGCCGTGACGGATGGCAACTGATTCCCAGCGATTCCGGCGTCCAAATCCCACGATGCTGGTGGCGATGGGGTCGTATGGACCTCAGGAGGCGATTGGGAGTGGTGGGGAGGCTCGTTGCTGTGTGTGGTGGCCGGAGCAGATTGGGCAGTGGCATGGACGGCGGCTGCTGCGATATGACGTTTCCCAGTAGCATTTCCGGACGGTTAGTGATTTGCGCCTCTAGATTCACAGCCGATTTCCGATTATGGGAAGCATATTTGCGATTGGAGAATAGAGATTTGGAATTGGAATTGAGGTGGAGAATTTTTGGGAAAGTGGAAGCGGAAGAATAGGAAGATAGAACGGTGATGGAGTGATGGTCTCTGGTCTCGATCTTTTACTGATACTCCGTAAAACTAATGGTCTCGGAGCATCCTATTGTAGTTATTAAATACTCCCTCCATCCCACTGTGTTTGTCCACTTACCTTTTGGCACACCATCCAATGCACTTCTTTAATCCATTTTATCTTGTAATTTGTATATTAAAAAATTATAAAAATTATATATTAATAATCTACTTCCTCCGTCCCGTGAAACATTTCCCCTTTCTTTTTTTATCCGTCCCACAAAACACTTCTCATTTCTATTAAAAAGTCACTTTTACCCTTTACTTTTTCATACCCTAACTATCACATCATACCTTTTTACTAATAATCTATCCATCAAATCATACTTTTACCCATCACATCAAAGGACATTTTTGGAAATTCAATACCAAAATACACTCCCTTAAATCCCTCCTAAAAAGCAAATGTCCCATGTTTCACGGGACGGAGGGAGTATATGTTAAGACGAATCAAACAAGATCACACATGACTATTTTTAGACTTACACATTAAGAGAATTTGATGAGTCAAAGTGCTTAGATGAACAGTTCCAAAAGTCAAATGTGGACAAAGACAATGGGACGGAGGTAGTATATTTTTTATATTTTTTATTGAGAAAAGAATAATTGACTTTCATTAATTGGATATGGAGAATACACATGTATATAAATAGGAGGTAGATTCCTAACCTAATTAGGAATCATAAAGGTAGCTACCTACATTACAATATTTCCATAAACAATATTTATACTAATTATGAATGTCTAACATCTCCCCTCAAGTTGAACTCCGTGTAACGAGTGGAAGCTTGGATACGAGACTCTAGAACCGTGGTGAAGGTAGGGCTTTTGTCAATAAGTCAGCTAATTGATCCTCATAAAAAACATGAGATACACCCATGGTACTAACAATAACTTGTTCTCGAACAAAGTGACAATCAGTCCCTACATGTTTCATACGTTTGTGAAAAACAAGATTCTTGGTGAGACATATTGTTGAATGATTATCACAAAGAAGATGAGGCGGAGGGGTGGGAACACGGAGATCGGCCAAAATGTAGGTTAACCACATAACCTCAGATGCTGCAGCACACAATGCTCAAAATTCTACCTCGGTAGAAGACTTAGACACACGAGTCTGTTTCTCTATAGTCCAGGAAACTAAGTTTGGTCCCAGATAGACTAAATATCCTGTAATAGAGCGCCCATCAGTCATATCATTTGCCCAGTCTGAATCGGAGTAAGCACGCAGCTGAAGATCACCAGGCTCAAAGATAAGACTACGATCAAGAGTGCCTTTGACAAAATGTAGAATCCGCTTCAAACTCTGAAAATCATTTTTTGTGGGAGCATGCATCCTTTGACACACATAATTAACCGCAAATTGGATATCAGGACGAGTAGTGGTTAGATACTAGAGACCACCAACAAGATTGCGAAACAAAGTGGGACCATCAAAGGGCCGTTCACCCCCATCTACGACCATCGGCCGAACAGGTAACTGCGTTAGCGAAAGGCGGCAGTCCTCCATCCCAGCTCGGTGAAGTAGCTCGGTAGAATATTTTCGTTGGGAGAGGACGAGAGATGATCCTGTGCGACAAACCTCCAGCCTAAGAAAATAATCCGGAGGGCCAAGATGCTTTGTCTGAAATTCCTTGCACATGTTGTCAATGAAATGCTGAACCAAAGTGGCCGAACTCCCTGTGACAATAATATCATCTAAATAGACAAGTAAGATAAGAGTACGAGTAGTGCTGTGCATAATAAACAGGCTCGTATCATGAACATTTTTCCGAAAACCATAGGCAAAGAGGAAGGCTGAGAGCTGTAGATACTAAGCCCGTGGCGCCTGTTTGAGTCCATATAAGGACTTTGTCAATTTACAAACATGATTAGGGAGGTGTTGGTCAACATAACTCGATGGTTGAACCATATAAAGATCTTCATCAACCTCACCATGTAAAAAGGCATTAGAAACATCTAGTTGTTGAAGAGGCCACCCATAAGATAGTGCAAGTGTATAAACAAGACGAATCGCCTGTTGTTTGACAACCGGACTAAAAGTGTTGGAGTAATCCAGACCATACTCCTGAGTGTAACCCTTGGCTACCAAACGTGCTTTATAGCGCGAGACCGACCCATCAGCGTTGCGCTTAATCTTGTATACCCACTTGCACCCGATCGGAGATCGACCCTTAGGTCTGGGAACAAGAACCCATGTGTTCTGTTTAAGCAAAGCTGCATATTCTTCATCCATAGCACGACACCAATATTCATTCTGGGAAGCCTCTCTATAAGTTACAGGATCAGTGACAGGAGGGATAGAGGGAGAAGGGGTAAGGGCGTAAAGTTTTGGTTTAAAGATGCCACGTTTAGCACGTGTGATCATGGGGTGGGTTGGTTGAGGGAGGGGGACGTGGGTTGGAACAGTGCTGGTGCTGGCCGAAGGGGTAGGGACGGGGCTGGTGGTGGCCGAAGGGGTAGGGACGGGGCTGGGATTGGTTATGGGCAATGTTGGGGTGGAGCTAACGGTATGGTCAGAGGGGTGTGTGTCCGTAGGAAGTGTAGTGGTAGACATAGGAGGGGTTACGATGGATGTTGGAGCCGAAGGTGTGTATGGTTGAGTGGGGGAAGCCGGGTGGGACCAGCGGGTTCAGAATATATCCTAATCACTGATGAGGGGGAGCTTGAAAGCCTTAAAGAGGTCTTGTCACATCCAGACATAGACCATTGGCTGAAGGCTATGCAAGAGGAGATGAATTCTTTGAAGAAGAATGAAACATATGACTTGGTGAAGCGTCCAAAAGGGAAGAAAGTCTTGAAGAGCAGGTGGTTGTTCAAGAACAAGAAATACGGGGAAAAGCTAGTGAGACGGAAGGCAAGATTGGTGGTGAAGGGATGCCATCAAAAGAAAGGCATCGACTATGATGAAATTTTTGCACTAGTGGTGAAGATGACTTCCATTCGCATGATTTTGGGACTAGCGGCTTGTTTGGATCTTGAGCTTGAGCAGCTTGATGTAAAAACTGCATTTTTACATGGTGATTTGGATGATGAAATTTACATGGAGCAGCTGGAAGGATTTGAAGTTAAAGGAAAAGAGAATTATGTTTGCAAGCTGAAAAAGAGTCTTTATGGGCTCAAGCAAGCACCGAGGCAATGGTACCGCAAGTTTGATTCCTTCATGAATAGTAATGGGTACAGGCGTACTACTGCAGATCCTTGTGTGTATTTTAGAAAGTTCTCTGATCATAACTTCATTATCCTTTGTTTGTATGTTGATGATATGTTGATAGTGGGAAAAGATGTTGAGATGATTCGCAGGTTAAAAGAGGATATGTCAAAGTCCTTTGAAATGAAAGATTTGGGTAATGCGAAGCAAATTCTTGGCATGGAAATTGTTCATGATAGAAAAGCTGGTAAGCTTTGGCTCTCACAAGAGAAGTATATTGAACGGGTGCTTGAAAGGTTCAATATGAAGAATGCTAAGCCAGTTAATTCACCACTTTCCAATCATTCCAAGTTGAGCAAGCGTTCTTGTCCTAGTTCTGAGAAAGAGAAGGAAAACATGTCTCTTATTCCTTATTCCTCTACTGTTGGTTCATTGATGTACGCTATGGTGTGTACAAGGCCGGATATTTCACATGCTGTTGGATTGGTTAGAAGATTCTTGACTAATCCAGTTCACTGGGAAGCTGTAAAGTGGATCTTGAGATATTTGCGGGGCACCTCAAAGCTGAGTTTGTGTTTTGGAGGCGGCGAGCCTATTCTTGAGGGATTTACAGATGCTGACATGGCTGGAGATCTTGATAACAGGAAGTCTACCTCAGGTTATTTGTTTACATTTGCAGGGGGAGCCATTTCATGGCAATCCTAGCTACAAAAGTGTGTAGCTTTGTCAACAACTGAGGCAGAGTATATAGCGACAGTGGAAGCATGCAAAGAGATGATTTGGTTGAAGTGTTTCCTTCAAGAATTGGGATTGAAGCAAGGTGAGTATGTTGTGTTTTGCGATAGTCAAAGTGCTATAGACTTGAGCAAAAACACCATGTATCATGCTCGCACAAAGCATATTGATGTGAGGTATCATTGGTTGCGTGATATCATTCAAAAGCAACTAATGAAGTTGAAGAAGATTCACACAAACAAGAATGGTGCTGATATGTTGACAAAGGTGGTTCCTGGAAGCATGTTTGAGTTTTGTTCCAAGCTTGCAGGTATGTCTTCTTGATGTGGTTTGCGTATGATCTTCCCCAAATCGGGCTAGAGGGGGAGATTGTTGTGGGTCCAGCCCATTTTCATTTGGGTTCTATTTTTCTTTGTGGGGGTCCAATAATAGGAAAGTTTTTCCTTTACTTTGTTGACTAACAAAAAGGAGAAAAAAGGGCTGGGAAATAGTGGACTTACTTAGAGAGCAGAAAAGAAAAAAAACAGAATAGAGAGAGGAAAGGTGCTGGTGCAAAATTTACAGACCAGCCGCACAAATTCGATCATCGCCGGAGATCCGACCATTGGATTGAGCTGAAATTTTCAAAGGTGTTTCCCATCACTTAGGGATTCAATCTGTTCAATTTTCACATCAATCGGAGCTACGGATCTTTTGTAATAGAAGCTGGTGCGGCGCTGCGTTTTTGGGTGATATCTCTGATTTTTCTTCTCTCTTGTTGATGGCTCTTATGTATGTTGTTGGTGGGCTGTGACATCCTTGTAGACTGAGTTTGGGTGTTTTTACCCTCAATTTCCATAATAAGAGAAGAAGAGGGCGGACTCCCTATAAGTCCCGTGGTTTTTATCCTTCACATCGAAGGGTTTTTCCACGTATAAAAATCGTGTGTCGTTTGCATCTTTATTCTTCATATTTGATTGTGGTTTATTTGATGTGCTGCTGATTTTGTGTGCTTGGTTAATCAATTGTGGTAAATTGGGTCAAGTGTTTGGTTGGTTGTCTTGAAGTTGATCCTTGTAGGTGTCGTATCCTACTTGTTGCTTCTCCCCCAACACTTCATTCTTTGTGCCATACTCAAGAACATGCTTGAATATTCTTACTTGTATCTCAATGAAAACACCTATGATAGAGTTTAACTCCGCTGAATATTATTCTCACTCGAATCTCAGAGTAATTACAAAAATAATTTTGATAAAAGACAAAAATATCAAACTCAAGAATTGGAAGAAAAGACGAAATCTTTCGGGGATATTTATAATATCTAAGCTTCCTAATCGTATTAGCCTTTACCGAGGAAACTAGGGTAAACTTCTCCCTAAGCACTAATCTCAATCCTAGTCGGACAACCCATTAAACTCATTCCTTAGCCCGAATGGGTTTCGCCCATCACTCGCCTACAAGTCCATTTCTCTTCTCGAGTATGGGTCTTGATGCTGAATTGACTAACGAAGATAAATATATTGGACTAATTACATTAATAATAACACCTCGATCCAATACACCCATATAATATTTTAGATTTGGTACACCTTCCTTCCCACTTTTTTCGTCAACTTTCTATATTTTACACGTGAGGGGTTAATTAGCCGAGAAAGTTACAAAACTACCCTTACGCACACTCAAACCTATGGGTTACAAATGTTTCTTCAGAGGCAACTTCACCGCTTTCCTCCGCCCATGATTTTTCCAAATTCACCCTCTTGGACCAATTAGCCTTTTGATCTTTTGATTCAGATCTTTATCTTGAAAGAGAGAATATGAAGAGAAAGAGAAAATTGGGAAAAGCTACGGTGAAGACTGTGATGATCGTTGTGAGTTCTGCTACTCTCTTTCTAGGACATTTTGGAATGATCTGACCCGTATTTGGTGTGGCAATCTGGTTATTGCAGCCATGACGGTGCTGTTTCCCGATTCGTCCGTCAAAGAAGTAGATCTGAGCCTCAACGTCTTAAGATGTATTTTGAATCTGTTTGAGAATTAGATCTGAGCATAAACATCGGAGTAGTAGATCTGTGTCAGCTTCTCAAATTGTTCATCGGAGATGCAACCTTCGCCCAGGCAATATGCGATGGTGGAGCTTTTGGTCTTTGTCGCACACCTATTGAAATAAGCCGGTGGGCCTTCCTTGCAGGCAAAGGGTGCCAATGAGCTAAGACTCAACTTTGATTCTTGAGAACTGTGTTGGGAGTCAATTATGTTAAGCATAGGGCCTCTGTAAGTACCATGCCTTTTTGCCACCAATCTTCAATTAAAGTTCAAATTACCTCATCTTAGTGACCGTCCGGTCGGGTCTGAGGGACCCTCAAGGATGGGGTTCATCCTTTGAAACTTGAAAGAAAATGCTTTGCACATGGGCCAACGCTGAAACAAATTGAACTTAAAGGAGTATTATCTCTGATAAAGTATCTTAGATTAAGAAAGAAGGTGTTTGAGAGTACATTTGAAAATAACTTATAGCTTCTTTTTTATTAAAACACAATATTAAATGTTTGGTAATCTGCTTTAACTTATGAATTATGGTTTTAGATGTTAAAATTAATGTCTAATAATGCTTTCTAGCAAAGTTAAAAATACATGCTTTCTCCCTCTAAATTATGATTTCTAGTTTTTCACTACTCACCACTGATGGTGTAAATATAGCGGGGTGGGTTAACCGGGTTTGACCTGGACACACTCAACCCGTAATATAAAACACACAACAAGAACACAAAGTATGACCTAGACCGGGTAAATCTCCTCAGTCCGAATTATATTTCTTACTCTATCTCAAGAGTGAACTTTAGTGAGAGAAAAATTGGATCCCCTCCTCTATCCAATATCATCATATTTATAGAGAAGGATTTGCGACCTTCCCCTGTTCATCCATGGACAAAATAGGAAACCCGAAGGAAGGTCACTGTACATAATCAATCTACTATTCAATCAATGAATTTAGCAACTATAAGCCAAGACATGTACTGTTCAATCAAAGACTATAAATGGATATTCTCAATCCAATCAGCCCTGCAAAATGACAAACATTCCTTTCACTGTTTGCCTCGTGATGGATGAGCGGCGGGGTGTCCCCTTGACCTCTGACGTGGTTCACCATGCCTGAGATACTGGACCAATGTTTGCAAAGTAAAGTGACATGACCGGTCAACTTCTCTCAAAGGTTACCCGGTCATTCTTTGTGCTCAACCCGTCTCTGGTCTTCTAGAATGTCCTTTGTAACATTAGGCGACATTTTGGTTATCGCCCAAAATGTGACCGGTCACTTTTTTAGTGGAAGTGACCGGTCAACTTTTGACCCGTCCCAATCGAAGAGTTAACCTCATTTGGTGATTGATAAAAGTGACCGGTCATATTTTGACCTGTCCCTTTCGGTTGTCCGGGTCGGGTATAAGGATATACCCATCAAGAAGTCCTCCACTTACCGGCCTTGTGAGGAAGTCATCAAGGGCGGGAAGTATACTTATGTTAACCCATCACCTTTGAATTCAACAAGTCTTCTCTCATGACCTGTCCTTTTGAATCACCAGGTCTCTCTCATGACCTGTCCTTTTGAATCACCAAGTCCCTCAGACCTGTCCTTTTGAAATCATCAAGTCATTCCCATGACCTGTCTTTCTTTGAAATTATCAAGTCATTCCCAGGACCTGTCCTTTTTTGAAATCGTCAAGCCATTCCCATGACCTGTCCTTGTTTGAAATCGTCAAGCCATTCCCATGACCTGACCTTCTTTGAAATCATCAAATCTTTCCCATGACCTGTCCTTCTTTGAAATTACCAAGTCATTCCCATGACCTGTCCTTCTTTGAAATCATCAAGTCATTCCCATGACCTGTCCTTCTTTGAAATCATCAAGTCATTCCCATGACCTGTCCTTCTTTGAAATCATCAAGTCATTCCCATGACCTGTCCTTCTTCTAAATTATCAAGTCATTCTCATTGACCTGTCCTTCTTGTTGACCTGTCCTTTTAGACCCGTCACTTTTGTAATTATCATACCTTTCTCTTTCAAGACCTGTCTTTCTCTAGATTGCCAAGCCTTTCCTTTTCAAGACCTATCCTGTCCTTCTTTGAAATTGTCAAGCCATTCCCATGACCTTTCCATGGAGACCTGCCCATTTCTTGGATTCACCGTCTTCATACCAGACCTGGCACTTTTGGATCTGTAGATCACCCTGCATGACCCGTCCGTTTGGATTTGTGGGAGTCCAAACGTTGAGCCTGGCTTTTAGTTTTGGGTTTTCCCTCCAAAACCTTTCGCCTTCCACCTTCAAAATTCAAATTTCCCCCCTCACCATTACCTTATCCACGTGTCAGCTCCTCAGCCTCCCAACTGTTGCCTCGAACTCCAAACCGCCTCTCTCTCTCCTATAAATACTCCTCCAACCCATCTCATTTCTTCACTTCTCTCATTCGTTTCTCTTAATTTGCCCGGTCTGGTTTCTCTCTCTAGCTTCTCACCAAGTAAGTGCTCCAGTCCTCCTAGTCTTTTATTTTTCATCTTCCCTTTTTTGACCGGCAATCATAATGTCTTCTGATAGCCAAAACATCTCTGGCCAATCCTATGGATCTGGCTCTCAGCCCTCTTCCTCTTCCCACTCTGAATCTTCCTCTCCCCCTGTCACTCCTTTGATTCGCCGCCCCTCTCACCAGTCTAGCTCCCAGGCCCGGGAAAGAGTTGCCCAGGAGCCTGTTCCTTTAAACCAACTGCCCGGTCGATTCAATCCCAAGGTCCTCAGCTGGGAGCAATGGGAAGAACGACTGGGATCTTTGGGCTTCCTAGCCCTTGATGTTAGACCGGTATTCAAAGAGTCCTCTAGGGTTACCAAAAAGGTCCTGGCCGAGGTGCGCTCCGTCCTTCCCCCGGGCTATAAAGTCCTTTCTAACACCACCTGGCCCAACATCATAGAACCCCACCAAGGAAACCGGTTGGGTTTTCACATCGCTTCGCTAGAGGGGGG